TATTTTCTGGTTGAAATGTTAAGACACAGAAATTTTAAATAACTCGCCGAAGTTTATACATATACTATACTTAATGGGTTTATAGTCTTCACAGGATTTTTTTAAGTTATATGGAACAATAAAGGTTTAAACAATAGATGAAGACCAAAGAGAAATCTCATGAAAGTTATGTGATGCATCACCAAATGAATTGTGCAAATAATTTAGTACTATAGAATTGCATAAAATTTCAGTATTTGGAAACGATGATTAATCTGTTTAATTGGGGCTGAGATTGGGTAAAGAACTAGAAGAAGGTAAAGCAAAGAAGGTAAAGATAAGCAGCTTGAGATCTGGTTGTAAAAGATGTGTTTTTCCACACTAAAATGTTTAGGCTTTATTTTATGGACCATGTGGTATACTTGAAGGTTTCTGAGCAGGGAGTAGTGTGTGCCATGATCAAGACATTTTTTTAGGACAATGAATCTGGCAATGGTATGCCAGCTCTTCAACCAGAACTACAGCAAATATTTTATGACTCACAAATACAGGGCTTTATACAAAATATTCCATTACATGAAAAATGATTAAACCAATGTGGATCATTCATTGCTTTACTGTATGAAAGAAAACAGGTTGACAAATTTTGTAAAAGTCCTAAAAGTATTAATAATGCTTTTTTCAAGTTATCAGGCAGGGTAGTGATATTTATAAACCCCTAGCCTCAGGAGAAGCAAATTAGAGTCAAGTAATTCTGCAGCACCTTTCAGTTGGGGTTCTACTCTCTAGTCTGCATTATATAGATTTTACAGAATTTCTGAATCTGAGAACTTCATGAACATCATTCTTCTTTTACAGATGGTGAACCAATGCATAGAAAAACGACGGCTCACATTTACCCAGCCAGTTGGAGACTGAACTAGGAATTGACTAATTCTAGTATTTTCTACTGGATAGAGAAAGTACCAGACTCTTATTGAAATGTATATATTAATTCTCAATTTTCATCTGATTGGAAATATTTCTAGTTCTCACTGATTAAAAAAAAAGCCGTTGTTCAGGTTTTTTCAGCCATGTACCACTTAACAATGATGTGATTCAAACATGGCTGTTCCTCCTTCAGTTTTTCTCAGATTAGGTCAACAGTTTCCCCTCTTAGAGACATGCATCGGTGATCATGCCTAAGTCATCAATTCTTTTCACCTGTAAAATAGAAATAGTCTTCCTTATCTGATAGCCACTCTGTTTCTTTTCTTTTTCATTTCCTTGGGTTTAATATGCCTGGAAAAGCTACTTCTAGAGTATGTTGTTTCAACTTATAAAACACATGAAACAAAATATTTCCAAGAAAAACATTTTTTGTAATCTTTCCAGAAGCTGCAGTACACCCAGGTACTCAAGAGCCAGAATGCTCACCTAAGAAAGTATGTTTTTCCCTAAACATAGGACTTGAGCAAACAAAGACTGGCTGCAGGGAATAGACATGAGTTGAAGGGTGCGACTGTAAAAGTCTAAGGAAGACAAGAAAGTATTTTAAAGGGAAGCCATCTTCTCTGATTACTTGAAAAAATACTTTGAAAACCCTGAGTATAATTTAAAATGTTGAGTTTTTATCTTGCTAACCAGCATTTATGTCCGCAAAACACTTTATTAGACAAGTACCAAATGGTTTCCCTCATTTTTGGAGTATAACAAGGAAGCAAAACTGAAGGAACAAAACAGCAGCAGACTCACAGATTCCAAGGGACTAGCGGTTCCCAAAGGGGAGGGGTGGGGGAGAGTGAGTGGGGAGGGAGGGAGAAGGGGATTGAGGAGTATTATGATTGGCACATATGGTATGTGTGGGGGTCACGGGGAAGACAGTGTAGAACAGAGAAGACAAGTAGTGACTCTGTGACATTTACTACACTGATGGACAGTGACGTCAATGGGGTATGGGTGGGGGAACTTGATAATATGGGTGAATGTAGTAATCACAATGTTTTTCATGTGAAACCTTCATTAAAGTGTATATCAGTGATACCTTAATAATAAAAATAAAAATAAAAATTAACACTTTAACTCTATGTGTAGGCAAAATAATATAAAATTTTTCCACATATCAAGATTTTATCAATTTCTATATACTGAAGCTAACCTGTATAACTATGATATGCAAGAGACAGGAAACCTTTATGCCTCTTGGATCACAAGAGGAGAAATGATTCAGTGAGTCTTCATACCTACTTCTCCTCTGGAGGACTTCCGATCTAGAATTTACGATACCACCTGTCATCCTAACTAAGCCTTAAAAACCCAGAAGTGGAGCAAACACTGCTGTGGCAGCCAGCATCTCTACAGAGACTAGAGAACCAAGCATTCAGTACCCTGAAAGCTCAAAAGCCACAAACTGGGAGGGATATTAATATGTCCCCCACATTTTTTTAAGCTAGAAGTGAAATGGAAAGTAGTCATCCAAGCACAAAAAACTTAAATTCCAGAAAGGATTTATAACAACAATAATGACAATAAAAGATGAAGATATATCCTTGAATTTGTAATTATTGCTCGAGTAATAATATTTTAAATATATGTTATCATATTAAGTTGACATTAAGTATAAACTATAATATAGTTAGAAAATGGCTTTTTATCTGCAAAGGTGTATTTTGAAAACAGATTTGGTATATATTTAAAACTCCCAAAATTTCCAGTTGAAAAGCAAAAATATTATTTCAAGTGGGAAGATGATTCTTATTTCAAATATTCTGTAGAAAGTCCTTCTGCACTAAGGATTATGGGATAGAGAGCAAATAGTAGAAACTGGTGTTATTAAAAACTGGAAGATGATGTACAGGTGGCACAATGTCTCGAAAAGCTCACAGTAGAGTCTGTGCATTGCATTAGCTGAGTAGGTCAATAGAAATGAAAGTGAATGGAGCACTGGGAAAAGATATGATACCAAAAGTGTACTGACATTCAAAAATCACAGATTTGCCCTAAATCAGCAAAGACATAAAGGACATTCCCTTCTCAACTGACACTTACACACACACACTATATAATTTGTTGTTGAAAAGGGAATCACTGCAGTTGTCATCTATTTACAATGATCTACTGGCTCTTAAGAGTTCTGCGCACCACGTAGTTCATTGCTTCATATTTAAAAACTAGCAACCATAAAAGCCTTTAGATGGTCTAAAGGGCAAATAGTTTACTTTGTAAATAATAAGCACATGGAAAGTGAATTCTTTGTTATCTAACATGTTTACTTTGTATTTCACCTGGGCATGGATTTATCTAAGCACATGGTGATGCCAGTTTCTGGAAGAAGTTCCCAAATCTCTACAACGGAAGTGTAACAATGAATAATCAGATGCTGGGAAATAAATCCATATCTGTTTTTCCACATTAAATCCAAGTCCACAATTCTATTGAAATCATTTTCTCAACAGAATCCCATTGTAGTTTGAAAAGGTAACTTTGTATATGACAGTTTCAAATATTCTTTTAAATTATTTTAGTTCAGTTTATTCATGAGTGTGAGAAACAATCATTTAATGAATTCAGTAAAATTACTGTTGTATCATCGCGATAGTGTTGCTTCCATAGATATTACAACGGTACCTGTATAAGATGTCAACAAAGAAGATACGCACTTTTTCCACCCTCTACTAATGAATGCGCTCAACTCTTTGCCCATCTTCCAAATCAGTCTTCTGGACCAGGAGTTGCTTTACCATATTTTCATATTGTTATTATAGTAATGCGTGGAATTTTTTAAACTGACTTCCTCAAAGATGATGTTTTAGTTTTAAAAGAGCAAGGTGGTGATTTACTTTATAGTATGCATAACTTATCATTTAAATCTCATTTACCTCTATTCCATCTGGACTTCTAAATCATAAGAAAGGCAGACCAACATTAATTAAAAGTCAAGGTCCTAGAGCTTTGCATCAACTCTTTGCATTAACAACACTTACTCTATGAATATTTTTTATACATACAAAAATGTAGCAAACTTTCTCACTCTTGTTTTTCCTCCTCTCCAGTAAAAGCTCATTGGATTTAATACACATATGTTTGATTTATTGCCAGTTTTATCCACTTTTATGAGAATGATGTATTGAAGTGTAAAGACAGTACGATTATTTTTAAAAGCACTCCAATTATAATTCATTCAAAATGAGATAAACTTAGATTCTCAGCTTTTTAAGGAAATGCAGAGTATTTCCAAACACTCATTTTTATGTGTGTTATCCACCCACCTCTTTCCTCTTTCTTTTTAAAAGCCTAATAGGGGAAATTGACTTTAAGCTTTGTCATCTCAGCCTAGGTACTAAAGGCAGCCAACATTACTATTGTTGCCATATCTGTCTTTCTCTTTATTATACAAGTATATCTATGATGTAATTGCAGAAGTTAGGGTTCACTCAAGCTGTTGGAGCACAGGGTATTTTTTAGACTGCCTCCTTCAGCACCAGAGAACAATTAAAAAAGAACCAAGTAACAATTTAAGAAATTCACCTCTTGAAAGCAAATCTACAGAATCTTTATCTTGAAGGACTGACGGAGACCTCAAAATTCAGAACCATTGGTAAAGCTCAATTTGCTCCAGACTCAGTGCTGAGCTGGAAAAACACTTGGGTGACACAGTCCTTGTCTATGACATCTTAGCTTTTAACCCCTTCCTAGAAGCCCTCAACTTTTCTGTTTGCTCTGTTTTTTCCTCCAAATCCCATGAGATTAGGAAATATCCCAGCCTTTTATTCCAGCCTTATTTGACCCTAAGCAGATATTCCCCTGAAAGTTGAGCAGAAACTAAACAATAATGTATCATTCTTCATTTAAAATAAAGCAATGACTGAGAAACCTAATCCTCAATAGAACCATATCTGTTACAAACACTGGAGTGTTTATAAATACAATACCGTAGGGAACCCCAGGGTTGTGATTCAAAGTGCAAACAAAAAGAATCAACAAGAAAAGACAGACAAAATTACATGTAGATGAAGGCAGCGCATACGAGGAAGAGAACATACCTGAGGAATTCTCCTTTTAAAAAAATTTACACACCAGCTGGGCTGTTTCTCCCCTCCTTTGGAGTGTATGTGTTTTCCTTTCAGGAATACGACTTGCAATCGTGTTTCTGTTCTCCTTGCCTTTATTCAGCCACAGATAGTTAGAAGCCGAGCGGGGCTGCGTCCCAGCGATCCGACTCAAGTGCAATCAGGCGTGCCCGCGGTCTGCAACGGTGTCCGGCGTCCGTTCTTGTCAATTCTATCGTGCTCCGGAGGCAGCTGCCTCCAAAGCAATTTCACAACTTAGCTGCTGGCAGGAAACTGCCTTTCACTCTCTTCATTGCCAAATTCCTTCGGCAGCTGATTTCTCAATCCTAGCTCTAGGAAAGCAAAATGGGCTGTCTCCCGGGCGCCGACGAGCGCCAAGCTTCGTCAACCCTGGAGGGTGAGGAGCTGCGCGGCTGAGTGCGCGCCGGGACCTTCCACCGCGCGGGCCACCGCGCAGCTTGGGGGTGCAGCCCCGCCACTGCGATCCCCAGCCTGCTCTGCCAGGAGCGCCTGGGCTCCCTCTGCTGCCGCCCTTGCCGCCGCCCAGAGCAGCTCCTGAAGGCTGAGCCGCAGCCCTTGCCCACAGGAGGTGCCCTGTGGCTGCTGCCAGGTGTGGCCGCCACCACCGCACTGACAGCTAACCGTGTGGGGCGCAGCTTCATCGCTGGGGATATCTCCTGGATGCCCGAGCCTGTCCGCCTCATTTTCTCTTTATCACTGAGTGATGACCTAGGTTTCAATTGCACAGCCAGTTCTGCTAGCCGCGGTTGCAGCCTCTTTTATAACACAGCTATTTGTTAGATACTTGTATGCTTTAGATGTAGCGGGCTGTGCTTGGAATCAAGAAGAGTACAGGGCACACAGTATAATTCCCGATTAGCTACGGAAAGATGGCCAACGGGACCCCTTATTTAGAGGGAGGAGATGTTGCTATCACATCCCAGGTGTTTCCTTCATCTTTTTAATGTGTGGAAATCCATTTGAGTGATACCACAGAAACATGAATTGAAGACACAAACACAAATCAAAGTGGGAAATGGCGGAGCATTTAGAGTGACACGAAGGTTTTGTTTCTCACTTAGAAATAAGGTCTTCCTCTTTGTTGTTAGTGTTTTAAAGATCTGGCTAGGAATTGAATGGGCTTGCTTTCCTTTTTAGTTTTGCTGAGTAGAGGAGGTGGGGGGGGAGTAACAGCTCCCACTTTCCATCAATAAAGCATTTTCTATCCTCTAACTCTCCTGTTGAAACAAACAAATGAAAAAAGTACTGGATCTTAAAATAGAACCTTAGAGAAGCTCAAGACCTGGAATAATTTGTAGGTTTGAGGCTGCATCTGGTATTTATTTACTTTTCTTTGCTTTTTTAGAAAATGGAAGGATACTGCCAGGACTGAAGAATAGTCAATTATCAGCTGAGATCAAACAGTATAAGAAGCATATACGTATATTTGTGCAGCATTTTTTAGTACATTTAGGGATGAAGATGCCTTGACCAACTTTAGAATTGACTCATCTAAATATTTAGTGTATAACAGTTGCCAGCAAAATGAACAGTTAAGCCTTATATGGCATTTTTGGCAAAACTGTGGCAAAATACATCCCACCTACTCTATGTGACAAACAATAAATGATACCTCTAAGAGTAAAAAAAAATCGTCCCCAGATTTAACACAATATACCTTTCAGATGCTGGTGCCTAAGCGCTCCCATTCCTAGCTGTCAGCCCCACCTCTAGCTCACAGAAGCTCACTTCCTCGACCTGCTGCTTTAGTGGCTGTTAATGGACTGGAACAAGGTCTGATGGGTTGCATCAGGAGAAGGGGGACAAACACTGGGGCAGTATGAGCCCCACCTTCAGCACCCACCAGAGTGGCAGGCAGGACAAAGTTCTGCTGCCCCTGACTGTATGCACTCAAGAGTAGCAAAGGAAAAGTGTTAAACTGTAAAAAGGGCAAAATAGGACTTTTTTAAAGAGAAAAATTCAGGCTAGCCAATACACAGTTTTGAAGAATGCCCTTCAACACACAGAGGAAAGAATACCTACTCATGGAGTCTTTTTCTTCTCTTTTTGGTGTGCAAATCCCAGAGTACAGCGCTGCACCCATGATCAGCTGGGAGCCCACAGCACCCTGTGTAGTGCAATGTCTAAATCCCCAGTAAACTGGGATACAGTTTCAGTGGTTTACATGTTAAAGCCTATGGGAAGAAATAATAGTAAGAGGACCCCAACCCTGAGTGGTCTCCAGAACGTGTAAGTAATGTAATAAAAAGAGGTATGAAAATATTGCTCTAACTCAAATACTCTCAGAGAGGAAGTAACAACAGGGGCGGTGATCACCAGTCTGTTTTTAGGAAAAAATAACTTGTCATGAATGCTCTATAGCCAGTGTTGAGTTCTGATAAATGCACTATTCAGCTGTAATCATCAAGATTCTGGTTTTATATTTAAAAATGGAAACTGTTTACATCTCTGGAAGTGACAGGAATCATGTACCTGAGGGACACCAGCTGCTAATAAGATATGTTACTACTGGAGAAAATGACAGAGCTTTATGACTTCATTGACCTGCAGGGACACCAAAATCCCTAACAAAACTTCCTTGGCTCTTGATGGGTAGTTTTCACCTGCTTACTACCTGCTTTGAATAATGTATAATCACAATAATATGAATACAGCAATCAGAGTCCTACACATCCTTGTCAACAAGGAACATTCTATTTCTGCAAAGAACGTTCCAAATTCTTGGACTAGTAACATTAAATAACAGGATAGGAAATGAATGATTTCCATTTATATATATTCACCACTCCACAGGTACATGCCCTAAAACTTACTCAAAGGTTGATGATTAAAACAATAAGATCAGTTCTCTAAGTCTCTCAGCAGTCATTTCAGGAGGAATAAAATCTCTAGGGTATTTTCTATATTCCAAGACAAAAGGTGAGCCAGATCATTTGTCTCATTATGGTTTACGAGAGTGTTTGGGTCACTGGTCATTTTTTAGTGACAGCAAAATTTGACTGAACCATAAAGATCAAGTAAAAGCATCATTCTTGTTTAATTCTGTTAACTTGCCCATTCACTTGACTTTAAGCAATAGGAGAAATTTTGAGAAAGCATAAATCAACCTCATGTGTATCAAACTGTATTTTCAGCTTTCTAGAAGCCCTCACTCTTTATTTCACAGAACTGGTAACAAATCGCTGGACCTTCCTATTTAAAAAAAAAATTGTGACCAGTCATTGGCTCTCTGTATCCATTTAAATGAGTTGGTAAAATGGATTGTCAAGAAAATTGAAAGAAAAACATGATTACATCTAAAGATAATAGGTTGTTGTTTCTAGCTTTGTATAATGGAATAATGTGTAGGGGAGCAAATATTTGGGAATAACCCATCCAATCCAACTTGGAAAGAGTTGCAAAATGTTGATTTCATGATAGCAAAGCAAACATTAACCTCTGTTCTTTCCATTAAATTATGGGACACTTACAAATCATACTTTCAAGCAGAAGTAACAGTGTGTAACTCCAAAGACTGGGCCATACAAGGTACCGAAGCTTTCTCTTTGCTGTGTCATGAAGACACTCAGGCAGCCCAGGAGGAAGCTCAAAGGGCAAGAAACTAAGGCCTCCTGCCTATAGCCAGTTAAGAACTGATATTTCCAGGTAACAGTCGTGTGAATGAGCCATTTTGGAACCTGACCTTCTAGCCACATTTAAGCTTTGGAATGATGGCAGCGCCTGCTGACATGCTGAATGAAACCATACTGAGAAACCCTAAGACAGAAACACCCACCTAAACTATACCCAAATTTCTGATCCACAGAAACTGTCAGAAAATAAAAGTTTATTGTTGGAAAGAAGGAAGGAAGGAAGGAGGGATGGGAGGATAAAAGAATATACTTAGGTTTCTCAAATGAAGAATTTGACTATTATTTAACTTGTGGATATAAGTATACCTAAGTGTTTTAAGATACAAAGATTTTTAGATGTCAACAAATTCAGTAACAAGATGAGAATGCCTAATTGGTATTGGTGGTTCTCTTCTCTGTGCCCTCTTACCACTTCTATAAATTTCTATTGTAGCATTAGTTTATCATGTGGTATGTTAAGTATTAATTTATTCATCTGCCTACCTTTCCATGCTAAACTGATCTCCTTGAGGACAGAGACCGTGGTTCATTCAACTTTGTATCACCAATGCCCAGCCAAAGGCCAGACTCATGAACAGTAGGTTAAGTAAGTAAGTAGAGTAAGAGCATACTTAGTAGAGCTCATAGCTAATGAGGCTAAGGACATGGATTGAGTCCCTATGTAGCCAATTAGCTTTGTTCTATTTCTTGGTCCAAATGGCACCCTTAGTTCTCACCAGCTGTCTCACTAATGTGTGCCAGAAAAAATCTTCTAACTACATATTTCAACAATGGTGAGTCAGTAACACAGTAATGCCATCCAAAGTTTGTTTGACACCCTTACAAAGTGTTTTTATACACTTTTCTCACTTGATACTTATCTTTAAAACCTGGAAAACATTCAAATAGCCTTGTGATTGTCCCTACACTAAAATGATGAAACCAAGACTCAGAAAGGCTGCATGACCTACCTGATCGTACAAAACTAGGAAGTGGTGGAGACCAGACTAGAAATCAAGCATTCCACTTCTGCTTCAAAACTGGTTCCCCTGTAAAGCTGACAGGTATTTATTTAAATGAACGTAATTGATGACAAACTTGGTAAGCTTTTTAGCATGTTGATACAAAAAGAGTAAAATTACTCAAGCAGATGCTCTTTTAAAATGTTTCTGCTTGGATACTGATAATTAGACTTTGGGTAATGATCATTAGGTGCTGAATGCCATTTGGTGTGACAGCATCTGTACTTTCATTCTTTTCCTTCCTTCTGTGTATTAGCACTGTACTCAAGCACATCACGAGATGACGGGATTCTAATTTGCTAAGAAGACACAGCGTTTGAATAATATCAAGTAAAATGATTTCCATTTCCTTCTCCCTTTGTTGTTGATGCTGGGAACTATAATTTAGTGATACAGCACAGCAGCACAAAAAGCTCACACTCTGGAATGAGGGTACCTGGTTTCCAGTCTTGGCCCTAACATGTCCTATTTTACTGACTTTGGTCAGGCTTAACCCCTCTCATCCTCAGTCACTTCATCTCTAACATGGTATAAAAATAGTTCCTAACTGCACTCTTACTTACGGACCAAGTAGATAGTCCATGTAAAGCAATTTAGAATATACCTGGCAGGTGGCAGGTACCCAATGAATATTAGCTAGAAACGAATATATCATCAAACTTCTTACCAGATTGCATTGCCATCATTTTCAGCTATTACTAACCTGCCCTTCATTCATCATGCTCATGTTTTCAGAGGAGTATTTTTTTATTTTTAATAAGAATTCTTTTTAATTCAAAGTTTTAGAATACCAGAGGACCTATCTTTAATTCATACCTCTGCTTATTTCTCCATACATGGTCTTACACCCGTTGCATAATCTCTCTGAGCCTCAGTTTCTTGTGTTTTTAAGTACTATGTCCTCAATATCTGTACTCCTTTTTTCCTTTTCAATTCTTATGGATTTCCAAATTT